AGATTACAACGTCATCTGAGGAAATCGCTATAAACGCCGATATTCGTCGTTGTTTTTACCTAATGACCATGCATGCAATTTGGCCCGATTTGTCACAACTTGCAGCCCAACTATACTTATGGCCGGCTTTGCCACACTTCACTTGTGTCGACTGTCGACCTGCGTATTGTCTGCGCCAGGACAGTATCTATCCGCAATTAGTAGAATCATACTAGTATACTATTGCAAATGCTGTAATTTGATTGGCTACTCTACTCGCTATCTATTCCTCGATAGATAGCGAGTAGGAAAACAATAATTTTCCTGGCGCATTTTTTTTAAAAAAATGGCTTTTATTGAATTATTTTTTATTGAATTACTGGAATATTTTATGTTTAATCTCTGATTCTACTAAAACAATTAGATTACTCGCTCTCGATTTCTATGAGATGATAGTTGATTCGGGCTTCGCCCTCATCAACTATCACCTCATAGAAATCTCGAGCTCGTAATCTAATTGTTAAATAGAATCTCCCGTACGTAGTGAACGAAAAATACTCAGATTTATAAGGATTTTTTAGATATTCTAAATAAACTCTAAATATGCTAGGAAATTTGCCCCCCCCGGGCCATATTTCCTAGGAAATATGCCCCCCCTTCGGAAATTTGCCCCCCCTAAGGCCCTAAAAAATAATAGTTTATTTTATCTTAGTTTGCGTGATAGTTTTTGTGTCAAAATTCTCCATTGAATTGAAATACTGACGAGAATTAGGCCAAGAGCTAAAGTTTAGCGTACTTTTCGCGTTTGGTTTTGACCAGCTTTGTAGAAGACAACGTTATTCGTTAATAAATAATAGCTGTATCATTAAGCCGTAGAAACGAAACGATTTTTATAATAGTTAAAATGATACGATTTTTTTTAGTCATTCAAACCTTTGTGCTTTTGTGTGTGCGGAATGTTTTTGTGAGCCATGAAGCATGCAGTCCACTTCCGTTTTTACGGAATGCTTCTGTAATGCATCCCAAACATGAGCGATTATATATACTGTGTATATATATGTAAGTAAAATACATAGGAAAAGGTTTTTTACGAAATAACCAAACGAACAAACGTTTCCAATTAAAAGTCTACTTTTACCCTAATGCTAATTACTCCCTGTTATTTATTAGACGCGTGCATATTAACACATTCGCCAACACATCATGTCATCGTTTGCTAAAGTGCGGTTGTTATTCTGACTAATTTTATACTATGGTAATGTGACTGAATTTATAGATCTAAACTAGGAGTTACTATCGCAAGGAAAATGCTGCCGATATGTACATGCAGGATGTGCTACAAAAAGAGCATTTTTCACTGTATGTATGATTTATTGTCTTACACATCGTCATTCCTCAGTTACCTTCGTACAATTATATCTTACATCTAATCTTATGAAAAGTATATTTTAATATGCTTAACAGTGCGACTTTGATAGTTGACACATAATATAAATGATAAAATGTGAATATTATTGAATGATTTTGTCACTCGTACAACTTTTAATTTGGCTATTCAAACAATTGATTTAAAATAGTTGAATTTATACTTACTGGGATGTTATTGCTTATTGGGATGTTGAAATTATGTTTGTTTTAGATACATTTAATTGATATTCCATAAATTTATTTTGTATGATTTCATTGACCTTGACGTTGTTCAAAATCATTTTGTATTGTATTGAAACTGTATGTCTATGACCTATGTTATGTACTATATTAACCCATTGAGTCACATTGCACCCTGATGCACCCTACTTTGAACAGTATTTTACTCTGTCTAACGCCAGACGATTTTACTCGTCAAGGGGAGAGTGCTGGCACTTAATGGGTTAACTGATCTATCTGCCCATGTGTCTAGTTAACCCATTGGGTCGCATTGCACCCTGATGCACCCTACCTTGAATAGTATTTTACTCTGTCTAACGCCAGACGATTTTACTCGTCAAGGGGAGAGCGCTGGCGCTTAATGGGTTAACACGCCCAAAATCTGTACTAAAACTGCTAATTCTGTTTTGTGATTGGCACAGTTTAATCAAAGAATCCTCCCGTTGAACCAGAGCCTTCACGATATTTCAATTTATTATTAACATAGGCTCTGGAATCCAGGATAGCTTGCCATATTGAATACAGTGCAATGCTTATATTTCTGAATGAATAAGATCATACTCAGAACAGTCAGAACTGCAAAACTATATTGTTAGAAAGAAGTTGAAGTTGTGAGCATTATTGTGGTAACACAGCCATATGTATATATCAATGTATGTCAGTAGAATCATGTTTATAGGCTTTATATATAACTGAGGCAGTCTTATACAAGTCATATCTTATACAAAAGTCAGTTGATATGCTATATGACATGTAATTGCTGATAAGTCCATATATGCAGACAACAATCCACACTGGGTAGCTCTAGGAATCTTGTTAAGCCTGATTTAACAACATCCCGCGTTTGTTTTTAAACTATAAACATCTAGAAATAGAACGTACCGAACACTATTATATACTCACCGCCTTTGGCTTTGCACGTATTAATTAAGTGACATAACAAACAAATAAACTAAAAGTTCATTTGCTTCTTGTATCAGCATAAAGGCATTAATCATTACTGTCGATTTGGTCGGGAATAGATCAGTGATTCAGTGGGTATTATAATTGCCAATATATTCTTGAAATCATATTGTTTCAATGCCTCTATATCGAAGTTTAGTACACTAAAGTGACTAAACAAGTATAAACAGCAGATTTAAATATAAATGCCTTCATGTATTATAAAATATATCACCAGACAGGTAGACAGGGCACACGGCACGACTACATCACTATACGAGAACGAAATAAAGCCATCCTTACCTGAATTATTCAAAATATTGTCGATCATTCTTGCGCCAGAAACACAAAATAACACCGTGCTTTATTTACCCATTCATCTTCACAAATATTACTCGGAATTTTTATGGAAATTCGCATTATTTTATGATTTTTATATTTCTGTCTGTTTATAACAGTCGCCATGTTGTGAACAAACCCCCCCCGGAACAAAAAAATAATATCAAAACAGCTAGTTTTGGCCCGTCCGTGGATGACAAAATGACATAAATCGAGATTGTAGCGGCTATAAACTCGGCGGTCACATGGTAAGCACACCACGTGTAGAGATTAGTGTGCTGCCTCGCTACGCTCGGCAGCAATAACTTGTAATATCTTGTCTCTAAAAATCGTTTCGCTTAAAGCTAAGCCATTATGCATCAATGTTGTCCTCTACAGATACCCATGTGTGCTGTGTCTGGCATGACTGCACTAGCACATTATTATTATTACGCTTTCCTTTAAACTTTTAGCTCTTGGCTGCAATGAAGAATTTCGACACAAGTAAATTATGCAAACCAACTATAAATGCTGACAAATACTTTTTGGATCTTGGTTTTAGAAGAAGCTTCACAATTTCCGAGCTTATAGCGATAAAGTAAACTATGTTTTCGAGGGGTACCAAATTTCCGAAGGGAGGGCTATATTTCCTAGTCTCAATCGCTGGCTGTAAAACAAAGTTTGTTGAAGTATTTAGTGCAATGTTGGCCTGATTTCAATCACTGCCTATTCTGCATTTTCAATATTTGTACAGATGTTAGTTTTTAAAACACTTGTCTGTTTAATTCCATATAAGACTACTGCAACTAGGAACAAACGAAAATGCACAATAGGCAGTAATCTACACCAGGCAAACGTCACACTAAATATTTCCACAGACTTTATTCTGCAACCAGCAATTGAGGCAAATTGCAAACGACCTACCCTATTCTCTGATTTTGCGATTTACAACATCGCGTAATATAATTTACTGACTACTGCAGAAGCCATATTTCAACGGACTATGGCTATGCATCGACTATGCAAATTAGTAAGGAAGTAGAACAATCATGTCCGTCATTTCTGGCCATGTTTTGTTGCAAGATGCAGCATTGTACTATTTTCCTAAAATTAGAAATCTATCTACACTTCACTGCAGTGCGACCATGACTACCAGTTTGGGTTCTCGCAGGTAGGTATGTCCCGATTGTGCTCCTAAAATCTCAAAAAGTTGCTGCCAAAAAGTTGCTAGAAAGTTGCCAAAAAATTAAAGTTGCTGCTACTGTCATGTAAATTTTAAGATATTTTCACACAATACTTAATTGTTAGTTTTATATTTTGTCTCTGTTAACGAATAATAACTAATTGCTTGAACTTTGAACACAACGGCAAATTTTTTAGTAATTATATCTGTTTGTGTACTTTAACAAAAGATATATCATGAATGATATCAAAATATAACCTTTACTAACACTTGTCCCGTTTGGCGTAACGCTACTGAGAATATAAAATATTTCATATTGTAAGTGCTACATGAGGTGTTACAGCCTTTTTGCACTGTTGTATTGGATCATCACACAGGCTTCGAGATAATCTTGAAGGGCTTTTTGTTGAGAACCAAACGCGTTTGCCAGGAGACTGGATCAACAATAGTGTTTTGACCGGCAAAGCCCAATTCGGGAGGGTCTCTTTGTGAGCTGCCCACCTGGTGGTCAGTCCACTCAATGTTCATTACCGAAAGTCTTTGATTTAGTTCATTTCGAAAAACGCTTAACTGCAAAGTGTCTGTTGGCAAGTGTTTCTGCATTGAAACGCTGCACCGAGACGATCAGCTCGCAAAAGCTGTGAGGTCAGACTACATTTTCTATCAAAATGATTTGTGGCAGGAAAAGAAAGGTACGTAGGTTTTCCACCTTAGAGTTCACAATATTTTCTACAAAACAAAAACAAGTTGCAGTCACCATTATTTTAAATTGGTGCGTTAATTAATTAAGTGTTGAGGGAAAGTTTGACGACACGTGTGGTAGGGCTTCGGTACGCAGGCTACAAACAACGTCTGCGCAGGAGGCTAGCGACACTCTATTGATGACCAACTTGCGGACAGCAGTCTTGCAAAGTCTTGAGTTTACTTGACTATGGACAGTCTTGGTCTTCGAGGCGAATTGTGCGACTTGTTTTGTGCTGTTCTGATCGGTTACACAAGGACACCACAACAGAGGGCGCTACAACACTTAATAGAGACAGCGGCGCGGAACAATTATGGATTCCTAATGGATTTTGTTGAAGATAACGGGTCAACAGATGAAAATATAGTCGAGACGTTCCTACATGATGATATCAGTTGGGGTCTAATCGTCATTGTGTTGGCTATATTTCGTGTGGCGCGACCTAACGCAAGACCGACTACCGTGTCTATTTTGCTCACTTCAAGAGTGTGGAGATATATGTTGAACTGCGGTGGACTAAACTCTTTGACAATATTTTATTATTTATTCTATTGTAAGACACAAGCAAGACTTGAACTAGTTTTATTTATTTACAAGACTCTAATTACTCATCAGTTCTATTAATATTATAGCATCTAGTTCAATAAGCTTTTCATTTAAACGTTTAATTTCTTGTATCGACGTATTAGCCTTGTTGGGGGAATCTAGCTTCACGTGCGTGGTGTTCAGTAGATTTTTGAGTTCAGAATCTTTTGCATACATTAATTTACGAGATATTATGATTTGAAATTACAATATAATACTCAATATATTATATATTGAGTATCATATTGTAATTTCATTATTTCAATAGCAATTTAGCACATTTAGTTATTAACAGCACTCACACAACTGTCACAACGTTGAAACATGTCAAATATTAAATAAACACTTCGAACGTTGGGCGCGGCCCTGCTCAGTGATTATTAAAACACTGTTCGCTGTAGCTAATAAATATAATCGTTTCCGTATCTCAGGGCCCGTGGAGCATATTATAGAGTGGGTGGGGTGGGGGGGGGGCTTACTCATTCATAGTCTCCCAATTTTTTGGGGTGACCTCCCCCCGTCCCCCGTCGACGATTTTTTAGGTCAAAAATTTTCCGGACGAACAAAAATTTTCCGGACGAAAGATTTCAGTCTCGTGCAGCAAGAGTCCTCACAGGTGCTAATTATAATACTCGCTCAGCTGATCTTCTCAACATGCTTTCTTGGGACACACTCGAAAATAGGTGGTCTGGTGCCAAGTCAGTATTGATGTATAAAATACTTAACGACCACATTGCGCCGGGTCTCCGGGGGTCCTTAATTGGTAAGAAGAGAAATAGATCAAACTAATTATCATCTTCGAAACACAGCAACTGACCTAACAATTCCTAAGCCGAAACGAGAATGTCTTAAAAAAAGGTTTAAATATAGCGGCGCTATGCTCTGGAATCAACTCCCAAACGAAGCAAAATTGGCCGAGTCGCTTCATTCATAGAACTATAGAACCATAGAACCACAGAACTACAGAACCATAAAACCATAGAACTATAGAACCATAGAACTATAGAACCACAGAACTGTAGAACCATAGAACCATAGAACCATTGAACTATAGAACCACAGAACTATAGAACCACAGAACTATAGAACCACAGAACCATAGAACTATAGAACTTTAGTAGAATCATACTAGTATACTATCTCAAATGCTGTAATTTGATTGGCTACTCTACTCGCTATCTATTCCTCGATAGATAGTCGCTAGCTATTCCTCGATAGATAGCGAGTAGGAAAACAGTCATTTTCCTGGCGCATTTTTCTCTTAAGAAATGGCTTTTATTGAATTATTTTGTGGAATATTTTATACCTGTCATTGTGGAATACGGAACGGGGTCCGTGGTGTGTTCAGTACTGGCATAATGGGGATTGAAGTTTCCTTGGTCAAAATAGGTAAGATATATGAGAATTAGAAAAACAGACCATATAGTTTAGATATAATAAACTACAAGCTTCTTTCTTGATATGATTTTCTAACTATAGACCAGTGTTGTAACGAGTCGAGACATTGAGTTGGACTCGGGTTGACTCGAATCACCAATTTCAATGACTCGACTCTCAAGTCCATCACAGTCAGGCCAAGGCTAGGCCAAAGTCTGTTTACACTGTCACAATGTAGGCCAAGGCTAGGCGAAGACTTGTGGTGTAAACACAGCTTAGATAAGCAGTGTAAACACAGCCCAAATAAGCTGCGGCTTAAATAAGTCGCAAACAATTAGTATAAACTGTCAATTTGTTTGCAAGACCTGGCTAAAATAAGCTCCGGGTAGAAAGCTAGACCTAAATAAGCTGCAGCTATGGTTCTGTGGTTCTGTGGTTGTATAGTTCTATAGTTCTATGGTTCTGTAGTTCTGTGGTTCTATGGCTCCATAGTTCTTTTTGTTCTATGGTTCTATAGTTTTGTGGTTCTATGGTTCTATGGTTGTATGGTTCTATTGTTCTTTAGTAGAATCATACTAGTATACCATTGCAAATACTGTAATTTGATTGGCTACTCTTCTCGCTATCTATTCCTCGATAGAAAGCGAGTAAGAAAACAATCATTTTCCTTTTTAAAAAATGGCTTTTATTGAATGATTTTTTTATTAAATTAGTGGAATATTTTATGTTTAATCTCTGATTCTACTAAAACAATTAGATTACTCGCTCTCGATTCCTATGAGATGGTAGTTGATTCGGGCTTCGCCCTCATCAACTATTACCTCATAGAAATCTCGAGCTCGTAATGTAATTGTCAAATAGTTCTATGGTTCTATAGTTCTATGGTTCTATTGTTCTGTAGTTCTGTGGTTCTATTGCTCTATAGTTCTGTCGTTCTATGGTTCTATGGTTCTGTGGTTGTATGGTTCTGTGGTTCTATGGTTCTAAAGTTCTATGGTTCTATAGTTCTATGGTTCTGTGGTTCAATAGTTCTATAGTTCTACGGTTCTATGGTTCTATAGTTCTATGGTTCTATAGTTCTATGGTTGTGTGGTTCTATGGTTCTGCGGTTCTATAGTTGTATGGTTCTGTGATTCTATGGTTCTATAGTCTGTGGTTCTATAGTTCTGTGGTTCTATGGTTCTGTGGTTCTATGGTTCTGTGGTTCTATAGCTCTATGGTTCTGTGCTTCTATGGTTCTGTGAGACTCGAGTTGTTGATTTGTGCCTTAATTGAATCGAGTCAACAGACGCAAATGAGTCGACTGGGACTCGTGTTATCGATTCATGGCTTAATTGAATCGAGTCAATTAATTTACCACGGGCTCAGTATACATTTTGTGTTTTTAGGAATGGAATTACACTGTTAACTTGAGCATTCGACATTACGGTGTCCGTGGTGTTTTTCGTACTGGCATAATGGGGACTAAGGTTTCCTTGGTCAAAATAGGTAAGATATATGAGAATTAGGAAAACAGACCAACACTTAGATAACTCGCTCTCGATTGTATAAAATTGTATAAAATTGAATAATTGTATAAAATATTCCACAATGACAGGTATAAAATATTCCACAAAATAATTCAATAAAAGCCATTTCTTAAGAGAAAAATGCGCCAGGAAAATGATTGTTTTCCTACTCGCTATCTATCGAGGAATAGATAGCGACTATCTATCGAGGAATCGATAGCGAGTAGGGTAGCCAATCAAATTACAGCATTTGGAATAGTATACTAGTATGATTCTACTTGTTCACTGCGCGATATGGGGACTGCGGTATGTTATGCAGTAACATTACGGGGTCTTACCGAAAAACCTATATATATATGCTATTTTTGCTGATTTTTTAAGTGAGCGTTTTTACTTCATTTTGTAAGGCATATATAAGGTGCTAACCGTAAGTGAAATATTTTGTATCAATTTATATTAGAACATATATAAGTCAAAACTGAAACGTCTTCCCGATTTATAGTTCGAAGGGTAAATTTGTTGCGAATTAAGCTGGAATATAAATTGATAGATAGGGAGGTTTTTCTAGAGGTCGGATATATTATATACAATTAATGGATAATAATATAGAGGAATTTCAAAGTTCATGTTTAATAGTTAGCTGGATTATGCATGAAGCAAAAATCATTTAGCTCTAAGATATCACTTTCGCAGTCATAAATACTTGTTCACTGCGCGATATGGGGACTGCGGTATGTTATACAGTAACATTGCCGGGTCTTACCGAAAAACCTGTATGCTAGTTTTGCTGATTTTTTAAGTGAGCGTTTTTACTTCATTTTGTAAGGCATATATAAGGTGCTAACCGTAAGTGAAATATCTTGTATCAATTTACATTAGAACATATATAAGTCAAAACTAAGACGTCTTCCCGATTTATAGTGGGAAGGGTAAATTTGTTGCAAATTAAGCTAGAATATAAATTGATAGATGTGGACGTTTTTCTAGAGGTTCCAAATATTATGTAAATTTAATCGAGGACAATACAGAGCAATTTCATAGTCCGCGTTTAATAATGAGCTGGATTATGAAGAAAGCAACATTCAGTTCTAAGATATCTCTTTCGCAGTCATAAATACTCGTTCACTGCGCGATATGGGGACTGCGGTATGTTATACAGTAACATTACGGGATCTTACCGAAAAACCTATATGCTATTTTTGCTGACTTTTTAAATGAGCGTTTTTACTTCATTTTGTAAGGCATATATAAGGTGCTAACCGTAAGTGAAATATTTTGTGTCAATTTACATTAGAACATATATAAGTCAAAACTGAATTGTCTTCCGAATCCCGATTTATAGTGCACGGGTAAATTTGTTACAAATTAAGTTGGAATATAAATTGATTGACATGGAGATTTTTCTAGAGGTTGCATATATTACATACAATTAATGGATAATAATATAGAGCAATTTCAAAGTTCGTGTTTAATAGTTAGCTGGATTATCAAGCAAAAATCATTCAACTCTAAGATATCTCTTTCGCAGTCATAAATAGTTGTTCAATGCGCGATATGGGGACTGCGGTATGTTATACAGTAACATTACTGGGTCTTACCGAAAAACCGATATATATGGTATTTTTGCTGATTTTTTAAGTGAGCGTTTTTACTTCATTTTGTAAGGCATATATAGGATACTAACCGTAAGTGAAATATCTTGTATCAATATACATTACAACATATATAAGTCAAAACTGATACATCTTCCCAATTTATAGTGGGAAGGGTAAATTTGTTGCAAATTAAGCTGGAATATAAATTGATAGATGCGGAGGTTTTTCTAGAGGTTGCAAATATTATGCACATTTAATTGAGGACAATACAGAGCAATTTCACAGTCCGTGTTTAATAATCAGCTGGATTATGAAGAAAGCAACATTCAGCTCTAAGATATCTCTTTCGCAGTCATAAATACTTGTTCACTGCGCGATATGGGGACTGCGGTATGTTATAGAGTAACATTACGGGGTCTTACCGAAAAACCTATATGCTATTTTTGCTGACTTTTTAAGTGAGCGTTTTTACTTCATTTTGTAAGGCATATATAAGGTGCTAACCGTAAGTGAAATATTTTGTATCAATTTACATTAGAACATATATAAATCAAAACTGAAACGTCTTCCCGATTTATAGTGGATGGGTAAATTTGTTACAAATTAAGCTGGAATATAAATTGATTGACATGGAGATTTTTCTAGAGGTTGCATATATTATATACAATTAATGGATAATAATATAGAGCAATTTCAAAGTTCGTGTTTAATAGTTAGCTGGATTATGAAGCAAAAATCATTCAACTCTAAGATATCTCTTTCGCAGTCATAAATAGTTGTTCACTGCGCGATATGGGGACTGCGGTATGTTATACAGTAACATTACGGGGTCTTACCGAAAAACCTATATGCTATTTTTGCTCACTTTTTAAGTGAGCGTTTTTACTTTATTTTGTAAGGCATATATAAGGTGCTAACCGCAAGTGAAATATCTTGTATCAATTTGCATTAGAACATATATAAATCAAAACTGAGACGTCTTCCCGATTTATAGTGGGAAGGGTAAATTTGTTGCAAATTAAGCTGGAATATAAATTGATAGATCTGGAGACCTTTCTAGAGGTTGCAAATATTATGTATATTTAATCGAGGACAATACAGAGCAATTTCATAGTCCGTATTTAATAATGAGCTGGATTATGAAGAAAGCAACATTCAGCTCTTAAGATATCTCTTTCGCAGTCATAAATAGTTGTTCACTGCGTGTTATGGGGACTGCGGTATGTTATACAGTAACATTACGGGGTCTTACCGAAAAACCTATATGCTATTTTTGCTGACTTTTTTAAGTGAGAGTTTTTACTTCATTTTGTAAGGCATATATAAGGTGCTAACCGTAAGTGAAATATTTTGTATCAATTTACATTAGAACATATATAAATCAAAACTGAAACATCTTCCCGATTTATAGTGGATGGGTAAATTTGTTACAAGTTAAGCTGGAATATAAACTGATTGACATGGAGATTTTTCTAGAGGTTGCATATATTATATACAATTAATGGATAATAATATAGAGCAATTTCAAACTTCGTGTTTAATAGTTAGCTGGATTATGAAGCAAAAATCATTCAACTCTAAGATATCTCTTTCACAGTCATAAATAGTTGTTCACTGCGCGATATGGGGACTGCGGTATGTTATGCAGTAACATTACGGGGTCTTACCGAAAAACCTGTATATATGCTTTTTTGGTGATTTTTTAAGTGAGCGTTTTTACTTCACTTTGTAAGGCATATATAAGGTGCTAACCGTAAGTGAAATATCTTGTATCAATTTACATTAGAACATATATAAGTCAAAACTAAGACGTCTAACCGATTTATAGTGGGAAGGGTAAATTTGTTGCAAATTAAGCTGGAATATAAATTGATAGATGTGGAGGTTTTTCTAGAGGTTGCAAATATTATATAATATTAATGAATAATAATATGGAGCAATTTCAATGTTCGTGTTTAATAGTTAGCTGGATTATGAAGCAAAAATAATTCGGCTCTAAGATGTCTCTTTCGCAGTTATAAATACTTGTTCACTGCGCGATATGGGGACTGCGCTATGTTATGCAGTAACATTACGGGGTCTTACTGAAAAACCTATATATATGCTATTTTTGGTGATTTTTTAAGTGAGCGTTTTTACTTCATTTTGTAAGGCATATATAAGGTGCTAACCGTAAGTGAAATATTTTGTATCAATTTACATTAGAACACATATAAGTCAAAACTGAAACGTCTTCCCGATTTATCCCTTACAAAAATTCCACATGATTTCACATGTGTGAAATTTCACATGTGAATTTGGAACATGTGATTTTCACATGTGAAATTTCACATGTGAAATTATGTTTCACATGTTCCAAATTCACATGTGTTCACATGTGAAAAGTCACATGTTCCAGTCACATGTTCCAAATTCACATGTTCCAAATTCACATGTGAATTTCACATGTGAAACTTCACATGTGAAACACATAATTTCACATGTGTTCACATGTGAAAAGTCACATGTTCCGAATTCACATGTTCCAAATTCACATGTGAAATTTCACATGTGAAACTTCACATGTGAAACACATAATTTCACATGTGTTCACATGTGAAAAGTCACATGTTCCAAATTCACATGTTCCAAATTCACATGTGAAATTTCACATGAGAAACTTCACATGTGAAACACATAATTTCACATGTGTTGACATGTGAAACTTCACATGTGAGATATCACATCTTCCAAATACACATGTGAAATATCACATGTTCCAGTTTCACATGTGAAATTATGCAAAGCTTCAATCATGCACAGTTAAACCTGTCAAACAGTGAGGTACTGTAATGGCATATATATACTGTAGGAAGTTTAAATAATTTATTTATACAGTTAATTTCTACAAATGTTTAGCTACCATACAAAATAATTTATAATAAGGAAAAAACTTAGCAGTTCAAATGTCTTTTGCAATTTTTCTTCTTTTCATATCAGCATTTCTTTTGTCTTTGCACTTTTGGGCCATGGCAGCTTTCACTGATGAGGCTGTTGCTCCCGCAAAATGTTTAGTCACATGAGCTACAAGAAAGGAAATACAGGACTATCATTAGCCGCACATAATGTATTTCAGGTACCGGTACTGGAACTCCACAGTCAGTTAACATTACAGTATATAGCACAAGTTCACATGCAGCAATATGAGCAATTTCCTCCTATCCAACCTATAAACTTTGCACCTTATTACGAATGGGAAGACCTAAATAAATGTAGTTAGTAGCACAACCCAACCTTTGGTTGACGTTGTTTCTAGTATTATCATAATTGATAACCCTTGGTTCATATGGCTTTTACCCTGACTCGTCCCCAGTAATGTATTCTCTGTTTGGGCGATACATGGCAAATTGGAAACTGCTGCAAGGCTATCTTCTCAACAAGTAAAACTGTAAAATTTCCTGCCATTAGACAGAGTAATATAAAGTAGAGCATATTGCCAGTGAATGGGTTAACAAGAGAAATATGCACTAGATAGGATTTGTTAACAGACATCTCAACAGCACCCCCAACATTTTGTGAGGTATCTGCTACTGGTTGTTGGCATTTGTGATTTAATATGCTATTGGCTCGTTCCAGAAAACATTGAATAGATTCAAAAGATTATATGATATAACCTTAGTTATATTGGAGAGGAGTGCTACTTGTTTCAGTGACCCACTGAGTGATATAACTGACAAGTAAAATCATCTGACATTGGGTCATTCCAGCGAACATCGATACCTACATGTAACCTCCCCCATGAAGGAAATTGGAAGTTAACCCCCTATCCCCTTCGAAATTCAAATGTCCTTATACACTTCAGAAACAATTTTTTCTCCCCTCGCCTCCCCTCCGGACGGTTGAAATTTCCTCTGTGCCCAGGGGAGTGTAGATCTTTTCTGGAACAACCCATCAGACAGAGTAAAAGAATAAAGTTGTGGCACAATGCAGCTTATGCCATGTCCGGCCTAGTATAATATCCAGTTAACTCCCCATCTTAATGACCTGCCAAACTTCTTGTACAGGGTATTCCCGTTTTGTTGGGTTAATATGGCGATGTGTCTAGTGAACCCATTAAGTTGTATTGTACCCTTGTGTGTCCTACTTCCTTATTTTACTGTCTTTTAAATGCCAGATTATTGTACTCTGTCTAATGCCAGACCATTTTACTCTCAAGGCTAAGTAGATCATCAAGTATGCTGGTGCATACTCTTGTAATTAATAGTTATTTATAAGTTAATTCAATCTAGCTTTGGATGCACATGTAAAAAGAATACTAGTTTTATGCCGTTGTAAGCTTAGACTGTTTTTATAAAGTCTGCAGTAATTATCCAATCATTTGATCCATTTAAAAATTAAATTGCTTTTGTAAATAATTATTACAAAGTGGCTATATCTTCAAGCCTGTAAACGAACTTCACCAAGGTATATTTATGGCACTCTCATTCTTAATCTCCACACAGGTTGTATTTATTGTTAAAGACAAATTAAAAAAAACTAACCCTAACCTCTACCCCCAAAAATAAAACTAATCAGAAAAAAAGTTAAACATTTTTAGTTAAGTTGAACAAAAACCTGTCCCAACTCGGGTTTGAACCACAGACTACAGCACAGCAGCCATCTGCCTAAGCTTCTGATCTATTTTTGAGCTCGCTGAAATCCTTCATTGACAATAAATTTTATAGTTCTGGTTTAGTACGTAAGAGTGCTGTAAGCCTGTAAATATAGCCTGGCAAAGTCTGTTTAAGGACCTGTAGATATACTGTAGCCAGTAATGATTTTTCTGTGTTGGTGTAATGTACTCAGGAATATGATGCTTGTGATGTTACGCTGAGTATATATCCACACCGGGCAAGCGTAATTAAAAAATATGCCTGACCATGGTGGGAATCGAACCTATGACCTTTGGAATACTAGCCCAATGCTCTGCCAACTGACCTACGCGGACAGATTGATTCAAATACAGTATGTGATATTTCGGAACAGAATCTAGTTCCTCCAATATCAATGTAATCTAATAATCAGTAATGATTTTTCTAGTTCCTTCGATTACATTGATATCGAAGGAACTAGATTCTGTTCCGAAATATCACATATTCGAACCGATCTGACCGCTTAGCTCAGTTGGCAGAGTATTGCCAGGCTAGTATTCCAAAGGTTGTAGGTTCGATTCCCACCATGGTCAGGCATATTTTTCAAGCTTGCCCGGTGTGGATATACACTCAGAGTAACATCATAAACATCATAATGTAGCCACTTTGTAATTATTATGATCCCGCCGGCATGACCCAGCTTGCAATATGAACTGTATCAACTGTTTAGTGAATTATTCTACTTCTATCTGGCCTAGACAGGATCCCACCTGCCAGGACAAGAAACTCTCATGAATATAAGCACTCTATCATCCCTGCCAGGTGGGGTGTATTGTGTCTATATTAAACACACCATCCTGGATTATAACCTACTGTCCATTCGTGCCATTATCATATAAAAAGGCACATATATACAGGGTATACTCTAGAAGGGTTTAGCTTGGAAGATCCTTCAAGCTCAAGCTAGCAAAAGTTTATACTTTTTTACCATATTGTGGGAAACACTAATCATTTAGTCGTAATGTGCCTTGATGCATTCAATAGTCTTGTTTACACTACCAGCCTTGGCCAACATTTTGACAGTGTAAACAGACTTTGGCCTAGCCCTGTCCTGACCTAGGCCAGGAAATCTGGGCTCACTACAAGTCTACAACCGACTTGGCCTAAGCCTAGGCTTGTGGAAATGGCCTAGCCTTGACCTGACCTAGGCCAGGAAATCTGGGCTCACTACAACAGACCTGGCCTAAGCTTGTGTAAATGTAAACACTTTCGGCCCTGGCCGGGGCCTTATTTTTATGGCAATGTGTGTCCACAGTGAGAGATTAGCAGACAACCAGCGGCCAACATGACAACACATAAAAATACACAAAATTAATACCAAAATTCTTGGCCAAAGCGGGCCTGTCTCAAAAAAATAGTGTAATGGTGTAAACGTGCCACATTTACCTTGGCCTGGCCAAGGCTAGGTCAAGGTTTAATTGTAGTGAAAACACCACTAATTTTACTCTGTCTAACCCGGCCAGTAACCCTAGGCAGAATTAATGCCTAGGTGATTTTACTTGTCAAGGGGAGATAGCTGGCACTCAATGACTTGAAAGACCTTGGAAATACAGGCATTCCAGGGGAGAGGTGATTAAAAGAACATAATTTAATTCATACTCTCAAATAATCTCATGTTTTGGTATGAATAGGTTTGCAAGCCATTTTGTAGCAAACCCAAATTTTACATTCATGTTCACATTTCACATATTGTTTCAAATAATACACTATATAATGTGCTTATTCAAAATTTGAATTGCTGGTTTTAACTAATATTTGGCGGCATTGAAATGAAATAATTTCAATATATAAAATCTTGTGTGCGCAAATTCAAATTTTAGCAGCCACATGTTCAGGCTAGTACAGCCACAAGATAAAATGAAATAATAGGGTCGATGGACGTTATAATTATATGATATAAAGAGTAATAATACATACCTGAGATCAATAAGCCTTTAGCAACACTTAGAGTCACTTATCCAATACCATTTATACCTTTTCTTGAGCGGAATATAGCTTTTCTTGAGCGAAATCAGTATCCAAACGAAAAAATCAAAAATTTGCAAATCACACTCGACACTTGATACGCAATATCCCACAACTCATTGCGCGCGTGGCACCTTGTCTTCTAAAATAGATACACCAAGAAGCGCTCCCTAGTTTTACTATCCATGGGATTTTAATTAAAGGATTTAAAGTAATATTAAACTTCATTTCAATTTTTTTTCTGATTTCTTTTTTCTGGGGGGTGGGGCGGAGTGCACCTCCACATTGCCCAAAAATGTATGGTTTATAAGTTCTCATTACTCATTAGTCATTAGTGAATGCGCGTATAATACTGTTTTTACAGTTTCAGTATTATTTTGTAAGTCTCTGAATGGTAAAATTTGCCAATACTCCAATAATACGTTTCAAAAAAGGCAAAAAAGCTTTAGTTTTGCTGAGTTAAATTCTCAAACATGTAAGGCACTAATAAGATGAACGTATCACGAAATTTGAATAAACCACATCGCATATATGGTGGCGAATATCCTAAAGGGGGTCGATATTCCTGTGGTTGGGGAGGGGGGCGAATCTCCTTGAGGGGAGGAAGTCCTATGACAACGGCATGGGCAAATAGCACTACCTGTTTAACAATTCTATCTCGTCCCCCCCAAAAAAAATTAAATGAGTTTGCCCCTCAAATCTCCCAACCCCAATTCCTGAGGCCTGGCGCCGTCACTGCTTCTAATTTCATGTGAAATCCTTTCACATGTGAAATTTCATTGTAATTTTCAATTTCATGTGAATCCTTTCACATGTGAAATTTCATTGTAATTTTTAATTTCATGTGAAACCTTTCGCATGTGAAATTTCATTGTAATTTGTAATTTCTTGTGAAACCTTTCACATGTGAAATTTCAGTCGTAATTTCATGTGAAATCCTTTCACGTACATGCGAAATTTCACTTTGTAATTTATAATGTTATGTGAAATCCTTATCTTTTCACATGTGAAATTTCACTTGTAATTTCATGTGAAATATTTTCACATATGTGAAATTTCACTTGTACATGTAATTTGTAATTTCATGAGAAATCCTTTCACATGTGAAATTTCAGTCGAAATTTCATGTGAAATCCTTTCACGTACATGTGAAATTTCACTTTGTAATTTGTAATTCATGTGAAATTGTCATCTTTTCACATGTGAAATTTCAGGCGTAATTTCATGTGAAATCCTGTCACGTACATGTGAAATTTCACTTTGTAATTTGTAATTCATATGAAATCCTTATCTTTTCACATGTGAAATTTCACTTGTAATTTCATGTGAAATCCTTTCACGTACATGTAAATTTCACTTTGTCAGTTTGTAACGTTTATGTGAAATTCTTTCACATGTGAAATTTCACTTGTGATTTCATGTGAAATCTTTTCACATGTGAAATGTCACATGTGATTTCATGTGAAATTCTTTCACATGTGAAATGTCACATGTGATTTCATGTGAAATCTTTTCACATGTGAAATGTCACATGTGATTTCATGTGAAATCCTTTCATTTGTGAAATTTCACATGTGATTTCATGTGAAATTTTTTCACATGTTAAATTTCACATAAGATCACATAATTTCACATGTTATCACATGATTTCACATGAAATCACACGTGTGAATTCATGTGGATTTTTTGTAAGGGATAGTTGGAAGGGTAAATTTGTTGCGAATTAAGCTGGAATATAAATTGATACATAGGGAGGTTTTTCTAGAGGTCGGATATAATATATACAATTAATGGATAATAATATAGAGGAATTTCAAAGTTCATGTTTAATAGTTAGCTGGATTATGAAGCAAAAATCATTTACCTCTAAGATATCACTTTCGCAGTCATAAATACTTGTTCACTGCGCGATATGGGGACTGCGGTATGTTATACAGTAACATTGCCGGGTCTTACCGAAAAACCTGTATGCTAGTTTTGCTGATTTTTTAAGTGAGCGTTTTTACTTCATTTTGTAAGGCATATATAAGGTGCTAGCCGTAAGTGAAATATCTTGTATCAATTTACATTAGAACATATATAAGTCAAAACTAAGACGTCTTCCCGATTTATAGTGGGAAGGGTAAATTTGTTGCAAATTAAGCTAGAATATAAATTGATAGATGTGGACGTTTTTCTAGAGGTTCCAAATATTATATTCATTTAATCGATGACAATACAGAGCAATTTCGAAGTCTGTGTTTAATAATGACCTGGGCTATGAAGAAAAAAAATCATTCAGCTCTAAGATATCTCTTACGCAGTCATAAATAGTTGTTCACTGCGCGTTATGGGGACTGCGGTATGTTATACAGTAACATTACGGGGTCTTACCGAAAAACCTATATGCTATTTTTGCTGACTTTTTAAGTGAGAGTTTTTACTTCATTTTGTAAGGCATATATAAGGTGGTAACCGTAAGTGAAATATTTTGTATCAATTTACATTAGAACATATATAAATCAAAACTGAAACGTCTTCCCGATTTATAGTGGATGGGTAAATTTGTTACAAGTTAAGCTGGAATCTAAATTGATTGACATGGAGATTTTTCTAGAGGTTGCATATATTATATACAATTAATGGATAATAATATAGAGCAATTTCAAAGTTCGTGTTTAATAGTTAGCTGGATTATGAAGCAAAAATCATTCAACTCTAAGATATCTCTTTTGCAGTCATAAATAGTTGTTCACTGCGCGATATGGGGACTGCGGTATGTTATGCAGTAACATTACGGGGTCTTACCGAAAAACCTATACATATGCTATTTTTGCTGATTTTTTAAGTGAGCGTTTTTACTTCATTTTGTAAGGCATATATAAGGTGCTAACCGTAAGTGAAATATCTTGTATCAATTTACATTAGAACATATATAAGTCAAAACTAAGACGTCTTCCTGATTTATAGTGGGAAGGGTAAATTTGTTGCAAATTAAGCTGGAATATAATTTGATAGATGTGGAGGTTTTTCTAGAGGTTGCAAATATTATATAATATTAATGAATAATAATATGGAGCAATTTCAATGTTCGTGTTTAATAGTTAGCTGGATTATGAAGCGAAAATCATTCAACTCTAAGATATCTCTTTCGCAGTCATAAATAGTTGTTCAATGCGCGATATGGGGACTGCGGTATGTTATGCAGTAACATTACGGGGTCTTACCGAGAAACCTATATATATATGCTATTTTTGCTGATTTCTTAAGTGAGCGTTTTTACTTCATGTTAATTGTAAGGCATATATAAGATGCTAACAGTAAGTGAAATATCTTGTATCAATATACATTACAACATATATAAGTTAAAACTAAGACGTCTTCCCAATTTATAGTGGGAAGGGTAAATTTGTTGCAAATTAAGCTGGAATATAGATTGATAGATGTGGAGGTTTTTCTAGAGGTTGCAAATATTATGTACATTTAATCGAGGACAATACAGAGCAATTTCATAGTCCGTGTTTAATAATGAGCTGGACTATGAAGAAAGCAACATTCAGCTCTAAGATATCTCTTTCGCAGTCATAAATACTTGTTCACTGCGCGATATGGGGACTGCAGTATGTTATACAGTAACGTTACGGGGTCTTGCCGAAAATCCTATATCCTGTTTTTCTGATTTTGTAAGAAAGCGTTTTTACTTCATTTTGTAAGGCATATATAAGGTGCTAACCGTAAGTGAAATATTTTGTATCAATTTACATTAGAACATATGTAAGTCAAAACTGAAACATCTTCCCGATTTATAGTGGACGGGTAAATTTGTTGCAAATTAAGCTGGAATATAAATTGGAAGATATGGAGGTTTTTCTTGAGGTTGCAAATATTATATAATATTAATGAACAATAATATGGAGCAATTTCATTGTTCGTGTTTAATAGTTAGCTGGATTATGAAGCAAAAATCATTCGGCTCTAAGATGTCTCTTTCGCAGTTATAAATACTTGTTCGCTGCGCGATATGGGGACTGCGGTATGTTATGCAGTAACATTACGGGGTCTTACTGAAAAACCTATATATATGCTATTTTTGCTGATTTTTTAAGTGAGCGTTTTTACTTCATTTTGTAAGGCATATATAAGGTGCTAACCGTAAGTGAAATATTTTGTATCAATTTACATTAGAACGTACATAAGTCTAAACTGAAAAGTCTTCCCGATTTATAGTGGGAAGGGTAAATTTGTTGCGAATTAAGCTGGAATATAAATTGATAGATAGGGAGGTTTTTCAAGAGGTCGGATATATTATATACAATTAATGGATAATAATATAGAGGAATTTCAAAGTTCGTGTTTAATAGTTAGCTGGATTATGAAGCAAAAATCATTTAGCTCTAAGATATCACTTTCGCAGTCATAAATACTTGTTCACTGCACGATATGGGGACTGCGGTATGTTATGCAGTAACATTGCCGGGTCTTACCGAAAAACCTGTATGCTAGTTTTGCTGATTTTTTAAGTGAGCCTTTTTACTTCATTTTGTAAGGCATATATAAGGTGCTAACCGTAAGTGAAATATCTTGTATCAATATACATTACAACATATATAAGTTAAAACTAAGACGACTTCCCGATTTATAGTGGGAAGGGTAAATTTGTTGCAAATTAAGCTGGAATATAGATTGATAGATGTGGAGGTTTTTCTAGAGGCTGCAAGTATTATATAATATTAATGAATAATAATATGGAGCAATTTCAATGTTCGTGTTTAATAGTTAGCTGGATTATGAAGCAAAAATCATTCGGCTCTAAGATGTCTCTTTCGCAGTTATAAATACTTGTTCACTGCGCGATATGGGGACTGCGGTATGTTATGCAGTAACATTACGGGGTCTTACCGAAAAACCTATATATATGCTATTTTTGCTGATTTTTTAAGTGAGCGTTTTTACTTCATTTTGTAAGGCATATATAAGGTGCTAACCGTAAGTGAAATATTTTGTATCAATTTACATTAGAACATATATAAGTCAAAACTAAGACGTCTTCCCGATTTATAGTGGGAAGGGTAAATTTGTTGCAAATTAAGCTGGAATATAGATTGATAGATGT